AAGGCAGTTCAGGTCTGTTTATAAGCAAGCTTATTTCCCTTCCTACCCTAAAGGGTGTGCAGTTTAGAATATATTGATAGTTATAAGCTGAACCAATAGGACCTACATTTCTGGCCTCTGTACGAGTGAGCTCAGACCATCTGTTGCAATGTGAAAAGAATGCAGGTACCATCCTAAGGCTAAAAGTATAATATGTTCTACTACTGTAAAGAGATGCTATGACCACAGCAACACTTATGAAAACAAGCATTTAAATGGGTCTTGCTTACAGTTTCAGAGATTTAGTTCATTGTTAATGTTGGGGAACACAACAGCAGGTAGGCAGCAGGCAGCAAGGGCCGGGCTTGGGCTTTTGAAATCTCAAGTCCACCCTTAGTGACATTCGTCCTCCAACATGGCCATACTGATCTCCACAAGGCCATACCCTCCCATTCCTTCTCAAGTATCTCACTCCTTGATGACCAAGCATTCAAATATATGACCTTATGTGGGCCATTCTTATTCACAGCCATAACCCAGGGAATGGCTCAGCACACCCTGAACTTGGCTGTGAATGTTCAGAGGTGTACAGAAGCACCAGGGCTTATTGGGACTATGGACTTTAGAAAGAGTATCTGTGAAGACTTCACATGCTTCACAGGCCAGGGTGGAAGGCATGATTTTTACCATCAGGCCCTTTAAGCAGGCTTGTTGCTCCTCTTAGCAGAATCCCAGCCATTCTGCCTGTTCAGATCATTTTTCTTACTCCTGCTTCAGGTAGCAAAATGACAGTGGGTTGAGGAGTATAAACATCGGGGCAATAGAAATTATGTAAATGTTGTGTTTCAGCAAGAAAAAAATTCAACCCCTTGAGGTCTTCAAAAGAGCATTAATCTAGAAATTCGGTACAAATTTTTACTTTCTCATACTAATAATGATTTCATAAAGAAAAACTCATTAGGAATTGTGACAAATAAGAAGTGTGAGTAAGCATTTAAATTCAGGAACCTCAGTGAGTGCCCGGGGAGATATTTACTCAGCCAACGACTTTCTGATGTTATTAAGAAGTAATTTCTTCAAGAAAGTCTCCATTCATGAGTTTACACAAGAACAATATCTACTTTACAAAGGCTTGCATTCTCAGTATATCACCTAATTTACAATGACTTTTGGTTAAAATTTTCATTAGGTTGGTTCAATAGCATTTGATAATTTTAATTCGGTTTTATGAGATCCCAGGTTCCCATTTATGGGAAGAGAAACTGCCAAGGAAATAAATTTTTAAAGAGCACATTCATCTCTCTGGTGAGATCTGCATAGCAAGACTGGGGTGGAGGAAAATGAACCTTTTCTATTTCTAAGGCAGTCCTTTCAGGTAGAGATTCTGGGCAGCCATGAAAATCAAGGCAGTCCCAGAGTATCAGTGTTTTGCATATGCTGATTTTTATAGCTATTCTCTAACAAAGTCTTCTTTGAGATACTAGGAAGGGAAAAAATACTCCAGTGTTCAAATGCAGAAACAGCCTGTGTGTAGAAACAACAGGCATAAGTTACTGCCTTGGTTTCCTAAACTAAGGATCAGCACAGGAGACATTTCCTCAGGAATTCAGGTAGGAAAACCACTATGTAAGGCTGATCCAAAAATGTGTAATTGTAATCCCAATATACCATCCTAGTATAACCATAAGAGCAGCCCTTAGTCACATAATGTGACTTTCTTTTCTGGGATGAAACAGGTCGAGGCATATGGTGGACTCAACCATCCAGGGTGATGAGGACTTTTCTCTGTTTAGTCTGAAAGGGTGAGTAAACAAGGATCTATGGATATTAGACCTACCAAAGACTTACAGAAACTAAGTTCTCTGTGAAAGCTCCCTGATCTAAATGCTCATGGTGATAACTTCAAACCCCTTTGCATGTCATCTTCAAAGTAGCACAAGGTTGTGTAGTATTAACACAGCTCTATGTTGGCATTGTGGAAATACCCGCCCCCCCCGAAATTCCTCATCATACCACACTGAAGCATCCTGAAAACTTAGCACTTACTTGCCTAGATGTGTATTATAAAACTCAAAGAGGATAGCCCACACCCTTTGCCATCATTACATTTTGAAGTGTCCTCTTGGGTAGAGGAAATGGTTCTAAAAATATCATCAATACAGAAAAAACAAAGTAGATCATTGGCCATCTGAATGTCAGTTTTCATTTACTAAGACTCTTACTTGCATTATTCTCTGTCATCCTCTTTATTTAGGTTCTACAGTCCCATGGTTTATTTAGGAGACAGATTCTTTTGCACCCACACCATCCCACATCACAGAAAGAGCTGCCTCATCTCTCAACAAAAGTCCTGAGCTATTGAGCCAGCTTCAAACAATTGGATTCAAATGACCACCTTCTTGTCACTTAGAACTTGGCCTCTGATATATAATCTAAGAGCTTTGAAATCAAAGTTATGATTCCTGGGTCACAGCTGGAAATGAACTTTACAGTCAGGTATGTTTTGATATCATGAGAGGCAAATTTGCAGAATGTAGTGGGTGACTGCCATTGTCACTGTAAGTTATGATCTGTACTTTATAGTACATCATGAAACCATAAAAGTGACATTAAACTTTAGATTTCAGTGTTTAAATCACACATTTTATTCATCATTTGGCAGTTAAATGCTTCTTAAATACTATGGAAATTTGATGATTTGACACATGTAGGACTGAATTACTAAGTGCAATAAAACTACACCATACAAATCCACCACAAGGCAGAAGAAAAACTGACTTCTTGTCTTTGAAAAAGGAAGGTGGTACCAAGTTTAGAGCCAATCCCTGTAACCTTAGATGTCAATTCCTGCATGCTTGTCAACCTATAATGGGCACTGACTAGGTCGAGACTTCACTTATTTTTATTTCCCACCATTGCAGTAAACTTGTCCTGACAAGTCTTGAAAAATCCTCATAATTCCAATGAAGCAGATAGTTTAGATCCTAGGGTCATTTGTATCTAGTTTCTAAGCACAAAAACTAGTATTCTATGATGTGAAAATATCAGTTGGCATGGTTCAAAGCTTATTGTCTCAGCATCCCTGATGACTTGCCCAGACTCTATAAACTGTGTATCTGGGTTCTCAGATTTACCTGCTTCAAAATTAATGTTCTATTCTTGGGATGGAAACTGTCCTTATTTGACAAACATTTTGTTGTTAGTTTTGATTCTTAAATTAGTTTTTACTAATCTTTCCAGTGGGATGGGATTTCCCCATCCCCCACTTATCACTCATATGCTAGCCATCACTGAGATTCAAGCTCATTTGGTTCTGACTCTAGCTCTGAGTACATGATCTTAATCACCCTTCACATTCATGGAAGAATTACTTAGTCTGTGGTGTATAGTTCCCAAACTGCAGGGATTCTGGGAAAGAGCTCTGACTTTATTTGTTCATTTGTGAGTTCCTACTACAACAATTGCAATCCCCCTTACCTTCTGTATCTCTTCTTAAGGCCTGCCTCTCAGGCAGCATGTAGAAGCCTTAACAGGGCACTTTCTTAAATTGTTATTAATTCTTTGTCAATGACCAAGATATATCAGTTTTTCTTCTTTTGTGACAACATGAAAGTAGGCAATCTAGAAATGGTAGAGTAAAAAGGGACCACCAAAAATATAAGAGGATCAGAAATTCAAACCCTAAAGTTATTCTTGCTTAATGATTTTTGCCTCTGGGATTTCAAGAGTTAAATTGTTTGTTTTTTGCCACTCTCATAGAAAGTCTAACCCCAATATTAATGAAAGTCTGGATTTGCAGAATATGCAACATATTTTCTCTTATAACCAAGCTGATCATGTATTACTCAGATCAGAACCACTATCTAGAAAAATACCTTTGTGTTTTAGAAGTCTGTGACTTTTTGTTTGTTTAGCATCTGTGTTCGGCATCTGTGCCATAGTCACCTAACAAGAAATTTTCCATTACTCTTTTCTTCAGTTCACTGCATGCTGTTCCTTGTGTCCCTTAGAAATGAGCTTGTCGTTAATCAGAAATCACTTCCACTACAGTTCAGTGCACTTACTGTAGATGTGGCAAACGCTTGTTTACAGAGTTGGTAATTGGATTAAAACATTGAAAAGAAACAGAAACAGGGAATGTGTTGGTAAAAATGAGAAACACAACCATGAAAATCAACAAAACCAAAACACATTAAACAGCTCTAATGAATGAAACTGCTATTAGCAGCAATCACTTATCAGTACCAAATACTCCAGAGTGTGGATCCTCAGTATCCAATGCAATAGTACTTAATAAGCTAAAGACAAGAGGGAACGGACTTGGGAAGAGATGTTCTGTGAGGATGGCTTGAAAACAGCTGGTTAATTTCTAGATTTTTTTCTTCCTTGAAAATGGGCTGTGTTTAAGTCACTCCTGTGTCTAGATACTGAAATACACTAGCAGGGAAAGCTCCATAGCAAATTATTTAAGAGAGGAAATCATTATTTTGACTTTAGACACAATTTTATTAGCTTAAGAATACCGATATATCTTTTCTGAGGTCTAGTTTCTTGGTTTTACTGACACTGGGGGATGGAAGGAATGTGAATTATGGCCTGGGTGACATTGTGTCCATTCAAGAGTGGAGTCAATATATAAGCATATTTGACAGCTTCCATTCTCAAAAGCATATCCACAGAACCACAGAACTACTTTTCTGAAAAGACTTTTAATAACCATTTTATAAATCCTCTTATTTTTTTAAAGAAGAAACTCATGTGTTCAGGAAGCAAAAGCACCCCTCAATAAAATCAAAGCATTAGTAATACAAGAATGTGAAATCAAAGAGTGATCTATTACAGATGCAGCAACATCCAACAACAAAATGCCTCTGTAAACATGACCCCAAGGCACAAAGTTCAGACTCAACAATATTCAGATTCCAGAGGAGAAAATTCTCAACAGAAAGAACCAAAATGTTTATGTCTCAGCAAAGTGTGAGAAGGAGAAAAGAAGCAAGAGAGTAAAGTGCCATCACTACCTTCTGGGTGGAGACTACACGGTGCTCCTCTGGTCTGAAGAAGACAGTGTTCTTACCTCAATGACTGACTTGTTCACTCCTTCCTACAGCAGCGTAGACCTAAACAAAAACAAATATGCATCCAGGGAATGAAATACTGTTTTCCAATTTGAGAAAGCTTTTTCAATTCAATCATGTAATTGTTAAAAACTTCTGATTTTAAATAAAACCATATTTATTTATTTATTTATTTTGTGTGTTTCTGTGTATGTGTGTGAAGGCCAGAGGACCGTTTTAGGAGTTGGTTCTCTCTTCCTATTATGTTGTTTTTGGAACTTGAATGACATCACCGTTGGACTAGAGTTATGTTTGACAAGTGAGATTCAGAGTTGTTTATGCAAATCAGCCATTGTTTTAATTGAACAGTCACTATTCAAGTGAAGGCAGGAGTGAAATTTCAGCTGTAAAAGAATCTTTCTTAGTCTTCAACACTGTAAAATATTGTTCCATTGATTTATACCTTCTACAGTTAGGGTTGGTCTATGACCCTGAAATCTACTATCCTATGCCAGGAGTTGGCAAACTAGAGTTGATGGTTCAACTTCAAACAACATCCTGTTTTTATGTGGTTTATAAGCTAAGAATCATTTTTGCTTTTCCAGATGGTTGGGAAAAAATCAAAGGAAGAAGATGTCTCGATGTGAAAATTTTAAAGTAAAATTCAAATGTTAGTATCTATAAAGTGTAACTGGAATTCAGTCACACACCTTTGCCCACATTCTGTGGTGGCCTTTACAGTAAAGTGACAGATATGAGTTGTTAGAAAGGAGAGAGCATGGCATGAACATCTTAAAAGAACTACTACCTGGACCTTTAAGAAACTTACTGACACCTGGACGAGGCTGTAATTGATTTTAGCTTTGTTGGAGGAATGGGAAGTAATGTGAACAACTGCTAAATATTGAGGACATTCAATAAAATAGGACGGATAGCCTTACAAACTGCCAAAATAAAAGTATATTTTCTTCTGGGATAATGTAAGTCCTCACGATTGACCATGAAAATGACCAACCTATGTACAAGTTGAATCTTTGGTTTTTAGTGACAGAATGTGTGTGCTGGTTTTACTACTAAATTCTGAAATTTACAAAGTCCATTTTGATAATTGTTCAAAATTATCCTTATTATTTGATAAGAATAGCTAAAATATTAACTCATTATGGAGTAAGTAAAAATATTCTTCAAGAGAACTATAACACATAAGTGAGTATCTAATCAATCATCTATCAAACTACCATTTGTCTATCATCTATCTATCTATCTATCTAATTTATGTATCTATGCATCTATCATCTGTCTATCTAATCAAGCATCTATTAGTCTGTCGTCTAGCTATCTATCATTTATCTATCTAATCAATTTTCTATTGGTCATCTCTTTATATCATCAATTATTATTAATTTATTTATCATATACCTATACAATTAAGCATCTATCAGACTATCATTCATCTATTTCTCACTTGTCTGTAACATACAGGTGGGTAGTTATGGAACTCAGTTCTGGAAATAGTGAGCGCTTGACTTTAATGAGGAGCCAGATCTCTAAGTCTGTTTACTGCACCCATAGAGATATATACAGAACTGATACCTGGTGTTCTGCAATAACATGCATTTAGGCTACATACACAATTTGTCTAAGAAGACTGCGGCCATCTACACAGGAAAAAACAGCTTAAAAGCAGCACATGATCCTTTTCAATTTACTAACCTTCTTTAACAGTTCTCAGTCCTTAGAGTTTAAAATATTTGGGCACAGCAAGGTAAAAACAATTTTAAGTAGCCATTGTACTTCATAAGATATTAGATATGACATACTAACCTTAAAATATCAACTGGAGGCTACCAGCTTTGAAATGTTTTGTTTTGTTTTTTTGTATGTTAGTTTGTTTAATGCTAAGGTCCATGCATATGAGTAATAAAAAGAAAATATTTTGATGTCTGGCAACTGAATAGAATAGTCAAAATAAGCCAAAGAAGTAGTTTGGTAATACATTTGCTTGGCTGATCAACTCAAATAGGAGGATGCATTTAGACTGAAATGAGTAACTTGCTAGGTCAAATTTTCAAGTGATTGTCTTGAAAAGTGACCTAGAAAGACTGTTAATTCCAGGCCCCTTATTACATAGTATTGATATGTTTCTCTTATTAGTTGATGAATAAAACACTGTTGGCCAATAGGGAAGCAAGATAGGTGGGACTAGGAGGCAAAGAGGATTCTGGGAAGTGTAGTAAGAGAAGTCTCCATGTGATCCTGGGAGGAGAGGACTCATGCATCTGGTGCTCTCGGTAAGATAAGACCATGTAGAAGTAAATATATTAGTAGTTATAGGTTAATTCTTAAGACAGAGCTAGCCCATAAGAAATCCTAGTCACCTGCCAAGAGCATTATAACTAATATAGTGTCTCGTGTGTTATTTGGTGTATCTGAGGCAGCTTCTGAACCGGGCGGGAATCCCACAACCCAGTATAATGTGTGTCCATTGTCCCACTCTCAACAGTTAGCAGCTCTTCTGATCAACAGAATGATTCAATCAATTGATGCTGAACAATTTGGATTATTATTTAGCAGATGGCAGATAGGAGTATCCCAAAGGCCAAGTCAGCTTGCTTTGGGTCATTTATGATATGATACATATGATACAAATTAATTACAGAGAATATGTTCAGAGGGATGAAACCAGTTATAGCACTCTATTACGTCAGGGATGTATGAGCCACACAATGGAGGGTCACTACTGTTATGTTAGGTTAGCAGTCACTCAATGGACCTTTAAGAAACTCCGGATTCTAGGTCCAATTTCAGAAGTGTTGATTCAGTGTTTCATGGTAGGGTACCAAAAATGTGCATTTTGTTATAGTTTTTGTGAAATAGTTCACTGAGGCATATGTATTTGAGCAGTGGGGCAGCAGCTGGAGGCACTGTTTGAACAGGCTGTGCAATCTTTTGGATGTGAGGCCTCCCTGGCAGACACGAGTCATTTGTGTAGGCAATAAGGTTATAACTGAGCCTAGTTTCTCTTTGAACTATCTTCTGCCTGACTGCTGCCATTAAGTAACCTCAAACTGTCTCTGTCATGCCCTTGTTGCCATGATCAACTACATTCTCTAAAATCATAAGCCCAAATCAATCTCCCCTACCTTGAGTCGTTTCTACGAAGTACTCTGCCATGATAAGAACAGTAACAAATATAATTTTCAACAAATACCCAAGTGATATACTCCTGATGGTCTCAGAGAACCTTAAAGAAATCCAAGGCTTTCCTCTATGTTTTTTAAAATATTTTATTTTAAAATTTAAATTTAAATTAGAAACAAGGTTGCTTCACATGTCAGTTCCAGGTCCCTTTCCCTTTCCCTCCCCTCCTCCCGCGCCCTCCCACCAACTCCCCAATATCCTCTCATTTCCCCAAGGAGGGTGAGGCCTTCCATGGGGGTGTCCATAGTCTGTCATTTCAACCAGGGCAGGGCCTAGACCCTCCACTAAGAGTCCAAGGTGAGAGTGTGGCTTTCTTTATGTTTTTTAGACCAAACCTAAACAGAACCGCTTCTGGGCTTCCCAAAAACGAGTTTTCTTTTTAGTTTTATCATATGATTCACATTAACATGGCCAGACTTTTCTTTAGCCATATACTTTATTATCCAGTGGAAAAGGTTGCTGCTCATGGTTCTGTCCACAAGCACTAAGACATATTTGGCCACTGTCTTAGGGTTTCTGTTGCTGCAATGAAACACCATGACAGAAAAGCAAGTTGGGGAGAAAACGATTTGTTTGGGTTACACATCCAGGTCATAGTCTGCCATTGGAGGAAGACTGAACAGGAACTCAAGCATGGCTGGATTCTGGAAACAGGAACTGATGCAGAGGCCAGGGAGGGGTGCAGCTTACTGGTTTATTTCCTCTGGTTTGCTCAGCTTGCTTTCTTATAGAACCCAGCACCACCATCTCAGGAATGGGATCACCCATCATAAGCTGGGCCTCCCCCATCAATCACTAATTGTCAAAATGCCTTACAGCTGGATCTCATGGAGATATTTTCTCAACTGAGGTTCTTTCCCCTGTGATGACTCCAGCTTGTGTCATGTTGACACATAAAACCAGCCAGTATGGCCAGTGTGAATGGTACTCAGTGTATTTCTATTAATTTTGAGGATGGAAATGATGTGATTCCCCCTAAGTATTTTATGATCATTATAATTGTATACTGTAATGTCTCCAGAGAATAATCCTGGCAGATTTCTTTTCCTAGCCCATACATTGCTTTGGCTATCATTACCTTACATCTGTCAAACAAAACCATGAGCAGCTGTGCTGATAAGATCTGCTTCTTTTGGACCATATTAAAAGGTTTATCTTATTAATAAATGGAGGCAATTAAAGGTTAACTAGTTAGCTCATCCAGCCCTTTGCATAATGACTGATTATAAAGACATGCTCAATTTAATTGCCCAAATTTGAAGCTTGTGTTTCTAAATTTGGGAAATCTGAAAGTAATTCTCATCTTCAATTCTACATGTCAACTCTAACAGAACTGACTATCAAATCAACAATGCTTCATATATTGATAGGAGAAGTAGGGCCAGGATAATCTGCCCCCTCCTACAATGGAGACATATTATTGGCAGATACAGAGAATCACAGCACATGGAGTAGAAACCTCCATGGTAGTCATGGATAGAATATAGATTAAGGAACTGCAATTCATGGGTTGCTGAAGTCTCAGTATGGACAGGGCTGAGAACTGTAAACATCAGAGAGATGTAGACATAAGTTCTCTTATATTTTTGTGAATGCTAACTCTAGAACTTAATTGGGTTGTCAAAGAAAATACTGCAGAAAACCCTACAGTGTTTTTCCAGGAGTAAGGGAGAAAAGGAGAACTCTAGTGAAAAACTAGTTCACCAGATCCTGACATGGAGGATTTTATCAGAGCCCAGATCACTGGAGTGGGGAGATATCCAACTCTAACCAGCTTTGGCTTTCCCCTTAGAAGAGGGACATACACAATTCCAAATCACTGTAGCCATCTTGTGTCTTATGGTAGATGGGAATAAGGGTGG